TATCCTATCCTATCCTATCCTATCCTATCCTATCCTATCCTATCCTACACCTTTGCTTCTTGTGAATCAAGGGTTTTCTCCCTTCCCTACGGTCTGATTTTCATGTTGCTAGAACTAGAACTCCCCCTCCCCCGGTGATTGACCCAGCCAGCTTTCTTATCAAAGGTAGGACCAGAACTCACAGACTAGGTTTGTTGAATGGAGGAGCAGAATTATCTTGGAGTCCTTGGTGCTCTCTTAGCTTGGTTGTTTTCTTGCAGACGTTTCACCACCCAACTAGGTAGCATCATCAGTGCTGGAGGGGAGTCAGGTTTTGGAGAGGAGGAGGAGGAGGAGGAGGAGGAGAGCAACTGTGGAGTCCTTAGTGCTTTCTGAGCTTGGTTGTTTCCTTGAAGACGTTTCATGACTCAGCTAGGTAACATCATCAGTGCTAGAAGGGAGTGGGTTTTCTGGAGAGGAGGAGGAGGAGATGAGAGAAGGATGAAGAGGACGACTTGGTGCTCTCTGAGCTGGGTGGTTTTCTTGCAGACCTTTCATGACCCAACTAGGTAACATCTTCAATGCAAGTAGGAAGTGGGGTTTGCTCTCTGTTTATAAACAAATATTTTCCCCTCCCACATCTGGAGGGCATCCAGTTAGACAATCATTTCGACCAAATAGAAGATAATATTTGCAGCTCAGGGTTGAACTGTGTTTTATGACCCAATTAGGTAACATCATCAGTTCTGGAAGGGAAGGGGGTTTATGGAGAGGAGGTGGGGGATATGGGAGGAAAAGGAGGAGACTATTTAGAGCTTGGTTTTCTCAGAGCCCGGTCGTTTTTTTTTGTAGACGTTTCATGACCCAACTAGGGAACATCATCAGTGCAAGAAGGAGGAGGAGGAGGAGGACCCTGGGGCCCTTTTATGCTCTCAGAGCCTGGTTGTTTCCCTGCAGACGTTTCATGACCCAACTAGGTCACATCATCAGTGCAAGAAGGGAGAGGAGGAGGAGGAGGACTCTGGGGCCCTTTTGTGCTCTCAGAGCCTGGTTGTTTCCTTGCAGACGTTTCCTGACCCAACTAGGGAACATCTTCCGTGCTAAAAGAGAGTGGGGTTTGCTGTGTATATCTGGGCCTGAACCACGAAGGCCCGTCTTCTGTTGGTTAAACCTTTGCTGCTTCCGAGTCAACGAGTTTTCTCCCTTCCCTGTCTTTCGTGTTGCATTTCCCTCTCTTCTTTCCTCCAGATGGCAAAATAAAAAATCAAAAAGAAATCCGATTTGCGCTGAATGAACAGCAGGGAGTCTCCTGCATTGCCTTCTCTGCCTTTTCTCCACCAGAAATGTGCTGTCTCTCTCTCTTTTTTTTCCCTTAACTCGTGACCTCACCCCTGCAGCAGCAATACCGCGAATGCCAGGAGCTGCTCAGCCTCTATCAGAAATACCTCTCGGAGCAGCAGGAAAAACTCACGCATTCCCTTTCCGAGCTGGAGGCCGCCAAGCAGAAGGAGCACCAGGTGAGCGCCTCTCTTCCGCCAAATTCTGCCGCCGCTTGGGTTCATCCCTTTCTCAGGTAGCCTTTCTTGGCACCCTGCCTTTTAGTGTTTTCACCAACATCTCCCGACACCTTCCTCCTGTTTTCCCCACAACAACAACAGCCACCCCGTGAGGTTGGGTTGGGCTGGGTGAGACGGACCGGTTTAAAATCACACAGCTGGCTTTCACTCCTGAAGCGGGACAAGTTCAGAGGGTCGCCAACCTTTTTGGAACTTAAGGGACCGTCAAACTCATCCTTTGAAATCCCACGGACCAGAAACCCTGGGAAAACCCCCCCCCCCCCCAAAAGCCTGCAGGAAAATTCCCCACCCCGTTTTCCCACTGATCGATCGTTCTTTATTTGGGATGGCAGGATACCGTCTCCGGCTCCGTTCTCAGGGAGGGAGAGAAAGAGAGACTTTTGGCTTCATGCAAGGAAAGCAGCAGAAGCAGCAGAAGTCTTTCTTTCTCTCCTCCAAACTCCACCAGAAATGAGTCTTTGTGAGACTTGTCATGCTGGAGCAGCCTCTTGGAGCAGGAGGCCTTGCAGGGTCCCAAAGACTCATTTCTGGCAGAGTTTGGGGGAGAGAAAGAAAGACTTTGGCAGCTTTCCTTGCATGCAGCCAAAAGCAGAAGAAGAAAGAAGCAGAAAGAAGCAGCCCGGTGACCAGGCCAGGCGCGTGGGGCGAGTGGGACAAGTTCCCCCCCTCCGCCCTTTCCCCCCTCCCCTCACTACCTCGTGTTGTTCGCAATGCAAGTGACGCACGCCTTCTGTTCCCCTGGGCCATGTGGGCGGCGCAGCCTTGTGTTCCCACGCAACCTGGATTAATTGCTTTGGGCGGGACATTTCTCTGCGGACCACCAAAATTTTCTCACGGACCACCAGTGGTCCCCGGCCCATTGGTTGGCGACCACTGGACTAGAACTCACTGTCTCGCTTCTGACCCGGCCTTTGCAGACGCAAGAAACAAGACTCCCCGCCAAGAGAAATCCCTCTTTAATTAAACATGGGGAATTAATTGCGTTCCCCAACAGAAAGTCCAGGCAAGAGTCCTGCAAGGAGTTGACTGAAATAACAGTCCTTACCAGCTCGTTACGATAAATGCAAGGCTACCAGCTCCTAGCCGGGAGGTTGCAAATTAAGTCAGCTCAAACAGAGAAACAGACAAATCTCAGTTAGTCTTTGTCGCGTGAAACACACCAAGAGCCAACTTCCCAGAAACGCGAAAGGTGGTCTGCAGCAATCAAACCACTCCCCGTTTCCTCCTATTTATTCCCCAGCCAGGGAGGGGCCGGTCAGTGTCCATGTTTGTTTTTTATCCCGAGCCGGCTCGTTGTCCTCTGTTGTCCACCTCTTTTATCTGCTCTGCGCATACGCGCATCTGGAACAGGCTCCAGCTGTTCTTCCTCCTCGCTCATCTCTGACTCCAAAGGCAGCTGCCTCTCCCGTGGTTGGGAAATGCCGGATGGCCCCTGGCTCTTATTTCTGCGTCCAGCGCTGAACATCCATCAGAACCTTCTCCAGGCTCCAGAACTGGCCCAAGGTCTTCCCTAACCTCCTCATCGTCCGAGTCTGTCCCCAGCTCTGCTGGCAGCTGGCAGGACACAACAGTCTCCTGGGGATTGGCCCAAAGTAACCCACCCTGGCTTTCATGGCTAAGGGAGTCCTAGTAATCCCCTGAATAGTGGAAATAGGTGTGGAATCTTTTTGGAACTGCTAGATGCATTGTGTTATAAACAGGAGATGGGTGGTCTCGTGTCCCTCCTCCTCTGTTGAGGGAAGACTGTTTAATTTTGACGAGGCACCCGATGGCTGGACAAAAAGCAACGGATGGGAACTAATCAAGAAGGAATTCAGGAGAAACCTTCTAAGAGTGTGAAAAATTAACCAGTGGAACAGAAGTTGCCTTCAGAAGTTGTGGGCGCTTCATCCCTGGAGGTTTTTCAGAAGAGACTGGACAGCCACCTGTCCGAAACGGCACAGGGTCGGTCTCCTGCTTGGTTAGACTAGAAGGCCTTTGAGGCCCCTTCCAGCCCTATTCTGATTGATGAGATAGATGGCCTCTTTGACCCCTCTTTCAAACCAGCGGTCCTTCTTCTCTGTCCAGAATGTGGAATTTGCTGTTTCGTAAAATGCAGATGGATCACAGGTGGGTTTGTTCTCCAAAGTTGTGTCGTGCTTTTGTGAAGTGAGTCCTTTTTTCTTTTTTCCAGTCCACAGGGAACTCCTCCTAACAGTAATTCCCTATTCTTAAGTGTCCACTTTGCAGGTCTTTTCAAAGCTCTTTGTGCTATGTGTCTGTGACGTTCTCAGCCATCCAGGCCATTGTTGTCCCCAAGGCTCTTTTTTCAGGAGGCAACTAGACTTTCTGGTTTTTCTTTGAAGACATTTCCCTTCTCCAAGAAGCTTCTTCGGCTTTGACTGGATAGCGAGAAAGGGAAGGATTCATCTTCCTTGCATACAGCTGGTCATTTGCATCCTTTTTAGAGAGTCGCTGAGGCCACTTGGAGGTTTATAGGTGTCCTCAGGGTCACCTGAGTGGTGCAAATGGATGTGGAACTGCGGAAAGGACTGTGTTGAGGGGCTGTGCTTGCTGCCTGTGTCTCTGAAGGCTCCACACCCATTTGCACCGCTCGGGTGACCTTGAGGACACAGATAAACCTCCAAGTGGCCTCAGCGACTCTCTGAAAGGACTGCAAAGGACCAGCTGTCTGCAAGGAGTATAAAATCCTTCCCTTCCCCGCCATCCAGTCAGAGCTGAAGCTTGGATGATAAGTGAAGCATCTTAAAGGTTAAAAAACCAGGAAAGTCCAGTTGCCTCTTGAAAAAGCCCCTTTGGGACAACAACGACCTGGATGACTGAGAATCTTCACAGACACATAGCACAGATAGCTTTGGAAAGTGCTATGGGTAGAATATTCATCTTAATTGTTGAAATCCTCCCTATTAATGACAATTGTAGGTTTTCCCATTTCTTCAGGTCTTGGTCTATCTGTTGTTTAAGTTTAATGTAATTGTTCTCTTTTAATGTACTACATCTTGGCATCAAATATATCCCCAAATACTTAACCTTGTTTGTAACTTGGATTTTTAACAATTCTGCCAATTCTTCTCTTTGTCTTAGTAACATATTCTTTGACAAGATCTTTGTTTTATCTTTATTTATTTTCAGACCGGCCACCTCCCCATATGCCTCTATCTTTTCCAACAGCTTCAAGGCTGTTTCTATAGGATCTTCCAAGATAAAAGACTAGGTCATCTGCAAAAGCTTGTAGTTTAAATTCTTCCTTTTTAATTTTCATTTCTTTTATAGTTTTATCTTCTCTGATATTTCTGTTCAACACTTCCAAAGTCAATACAAATAGCAAGGGAGAAAGAGGACAACCTCTTTCACATCTTCACAGACACATAGCACAGATAGCTTTGGAAAGCGCTATGAAAACTCAGGACCCTGATGTGCTCTTGATATAATTTCTGACCTTAAAACAAACCCGGGCAAGAACCCCATATACCTATTTCAGTATGATTGCTCTGAAATTCCACAATTGTTGGGTTTGTTAAGACACCAACAATGCCTGATTCCTCTCCGCTTGGTGGTTCTCCGAGATACAGACAAGCTGAGATGAAATGGTCTTAGAATCACATTTTTGCCTCCATCTCAACTTTTTTCCCTCTTGACGTGAGTTCCCGAGATTTACCGGGGAGAGGGGACAAAACGGTGCCAAAATGATTTAAGACAGAGCTCTTGTGGAGTCAATAATCAGTAACTGGAACGTGAGCCTTTTCTCCTCCTTCTTCTTCTTTTTTTTGTATGCGCTTCCGAGATAAAGTTAATTCCATTTGAAAAGATACTTAAGGTGACACGAATTGAATTATTCAAACTGGCTTTCTCAGCATTAACTCTAGGTTAATATCTCATGATGCCTCTACTTTCATTACTGGAGTTTTTTAAGGACATAACTTTTTATAATAAATTCAATACCGAGAAGCCCGGATGAAATTGGTTTACTTTCTAGCCAGCCATTAAAAAAAAAAAAAAAGCTGTATTAATTGTAAAAAGCGAATATTAAAACGGTCACCGAACTTGATTCAGACGGATGTTGAAATAGCTCTTCTGACCGATTGGGCCGAGTGAGGCATTTCTGCTCTTATAATGTGAAAAATGTAAAAATAATAGTTAAGGGGCTTCCATCAAGAAGAATTTGAGACCAGTTTCTCAGCTGCTCTGCCGTGACCTTCCTTGGCCCTTGTTTTGAGAAGTCTACAGATGTCTAGCAAATCACCACGGATCCAGGTAATTGTCTCGGAGCTAAGTATAAAGTTAGGTTATCGTCTCCAGTGGGTGGAAAAAATCACTTGGTTTGGATGGACATTGTGATGACCCGGGGCATGGCACAAAGGCAACACAGTCAGACAATCAGTAGGAGTCCCCTTATTAGCTCCAACTTTGCCCCCAATGTCCTGGTTACCTTCTGTCTGGAGAAAAACTCCCCCAGGGACAGCCTTTGAATGCAGAGAATCAAGTCCAAAATGTGGCCAACAAAAACTATAAGTCCAATCAAGGCAAAATGAGGTAATTAGCCCAGCAGAGCAAGAGAAGGAATTCCAGATGTGAAGGCACGGCAGTAACTCAACACAGTTGGGAGGATACCAGGAACTCAGTTAAGCAAAGTCAACACAAGATAAACTGAGGTTTGCTCTGAGCAGCTGCCACACTCAGCATGCATCTCTTTTAACTCTCTTCCCACTGTGGCTAATGAAGGGAATCAGGGCCCTTTCCTCCCCCATAAGCCACCCAACTCACCTTGCTCCCTTCTCTGTTCCTCCCTGCGTGCCCTAGGATGAAGAGGGGGTGGGCCTGGGTCTTCCTCCGAACTTCCTCTCCCTTGTTCTACCTCTCTCCTGCTCTGCCCAGTCGGACTTTGCCCTTCCCCAGTTTCCTCCACAGCCAACGGAGCCACACTCCCACTCCCTGTCAGCTGTTCGTCTTTCTCCTTGGATTCCGACTCCGACAGAGGCATGACGGGCATGACAGACATCGAGGCAATAACTTTGCAGTTTGGAGAAACGATG